TTGCAATTTTCACACAAAAGCTGTACTTTCACTGATGATATCATCAATTGAATTTGGGGAAACAGCTTGAAGCATTCATTGTGTTGAGCTATTTCAGCTGCTTTTGTCTGATTAGTTTATAGCAAACAGCTGAGAGACTGTAAATTTTGACAATAAACTTGATTTTCAATGAGGGTTGAATAATTGTGATTATAACTGTATATATATATATATCAAATGTAATTCTAAACTTCATATATTTTTTTCACATAATTATGTTATTTTATTATTCATATATTGGAGGATCTGACTGATAACCCAGGGAGCCCCCCTGCAGCCAATCAGTAAAGTCAAGCCTCTAGAACAGGGGTTCCCAATTAATTTTTCATAGTGTATCAACATCGTGGAAATTTTCAGAATTGCGCTGTTTTTTTTATATGTGCCGGTGTGTGTCAAGGTGTGTATATCTGTGCTTGTATGTGCCAGTGTGTATGAATCTGACACACAGATACACACACTGGCAGATAGTGGCACACAGATACACACACTGACACAAATACACACACCTTGACACACAATGGGTATCTGTGTGTGTGTGTGTGTGTGTATGTATGTATCTATCTGTGTGTCAAGGTATGTGTATCTATGTTTCAGAGTGTGTGTATCTGTGTTTGTATGTGCTGGTGTGTATATCTGTGTTTGTATGCACCAGTGTGTGTATCTCTGTGTCAGTGTGTATCTGTGTGTGTGTGTGTATATATATGTATTTGACACACAGATATACACGAGCACTGGCACACAGACACACACTGACACACACCTTGACACACAGATACACACTGACACACACATCTTGACTCACAAATAAACATACGCTCAGATACACACAGTGACATACACACACTTGCACCCACAGATACACACTTGCACATACACACACTGACACACACAGGCACATACAAACACACTGATACACACTGGTACATACACACACACACTTTGATACACACAGTGACACATACACAAACCTTGACACACAGATACACAGACTGACACACTCAGACACACATACTCTTTTATAGACACACATACACTCTCACTGAAAAAAAACATACTCTTTGTCAGGTACACATACCCTCTCACTGACAAACAAACATAATCTTTGACAGACACACATATACTCTCAATGGCAAACACACACACACTCTTTGACAGACACACATACACTCTCACTGACAAACACACATACTCTTTGACAGACACACATACAAACACATATACACTCTCACTGACAAGAACAGATACATTCTCAGTGACAAACACATACACACTCACACACTCACTGACAAGCACACATTCACTCTCACTGACAAACACACATATACTCTTTGACAGACACACAAACACATACAATTTATTTATTTTTTAACATTTTACTCCATGCAGCCCCCCTACCTTTAGGAGTGCTGGCATGGAGTCTCTGTGGTCCAGTGGGGCTGCTGGGTGGCTGGCATGGAGTCCCTGTGGCCCAGTGGGGCTGCTGGGCGGCTGGCGAGCGCTCCCTGTGGTCCAGTGGGGCTGCTGAGCTGCAGGCGTGCGGGCGGCGAGGGAGCAGTGATCTCCCTGCTCAGCTCCCTCGCGCGCCTCTTAGTGATGGCGGAGTGATTGAGTGATATCATATTCTGGCTCCAGCATCACTGCTGTGCACGCCAGGGAGCTGAGCAGGGAGATCACTACTCACTGCTCCCTCACCGCCCACGGCCATTTTATTTTGAAAAATTCTGTCGGAACCCCAATAAGTGGGGGGAGGGAGATGCAAAGGCAGAGGGATGCTATAATGTTAGGAATGCACCTCCTTGCACCACTTTTGGTAGGTACTAACCATTTTATACTGGGAAAACCACACAAGACTTGCTGTTTTGGAGATGATCTGACCCAGTTGTCTAGCCATCACTATTTAGCCCCAGTCAAAGTCACTCAAATCTTTTTTTTTTACCCATTTTTCCAGCTTCCAACACATGAAATTCAAGGACTGACTGTTTACTTGCTGCCTAATATATCCCACTCCTTGACAGCTTCCATTGTAACGATATAATTAAGGTTACTGTCAGTGTAAATTCCTCTTTGAATGATTTCTATTATTTTATTTTTTTGCAACATACTAGTTCAAAGTAAATCTATTTATCAGCATTTAGAGTGAAATGAGTCTGAGGAAATCAACCAGCCTGAGGGCTCAGCTTCAACTAAAGGAAATGGGAAGATTTCAAACATATCACCGAGAGAAAATATGAGCTATTTGGGACAAAATGTTGGAACAGCTTTTATAGAGACAGATGCAGTGTTTCTTTTAATGTCCCCATCTGTAACCCCAGAATTATTTCAAGCTTTGCCTTGAAAGTCAGGGCTTTATAAAATATGTAAAAATAAATAAATTGGGGGATTTCACTAGAAGTAACAAAATTGGAGAGACAATGATTTTTTTTCCAGTTCTGCTATTTTGCCAAAAATGTGCATTTCTGTGTCACAGGGTTATTCAATAAAGTGGTTATTTACTGATATATAAATTACTTTGAACTGAACTCTTACAGGATTATTTACTGAAGTGAATTTCAAATTTAAAGGGAAACTGTCATCAAATAAACAACTTTGGATTTTTAAAAGAGCAAAGAATAATTTCTATACATTATGCTTACAGTTTTGCTAGCAACTTCATAGTTTGGGAGAAAAACTATTTATAAATATGTTTCTCTCTCATTTCTCTGTACAGATACTGAATGTTGAGGAATTGAGAGACAGTGAGAGCAGAGGACCTTCGAGGGACCTCCCAATGTACGTCCTTGGTTCTCCAGCAATAGCATTCGCTGTGGTTGCTATGGTAACTCCCTAGCCAGTGCTGCTAGCGCTGTCTAGAGAATAGGAATGGAGTGACGTGATGTCACTGGCAACGAAGCCACCATGTCAGCTCCGTGGAGGAGGTTTGCAATGCTTGGGAAATGTCCCCAAGCAGGGCAAATTGGCAGTGTCGGTAGACCAGAGGAGGGTGTTACAGAAGTGTAGCGCCCATCTCTTTAGAGAGATGGTGGCAGTGGAGCGCCAGGTAAAGCCTGACAGTTCCAGCTAAGGTCAAAATAATCAAAATTGAAAAATTCTCTATGTCATCTATGCTTCCAGCTTGGCTACTCTAGTCTTACATTGGAAATTCACCTTTAATTCTCACTTTAGAAAATAGCCATGTGAGTGGCGAAATTACTTTAAAAAGTATTAAAGTTGAGCTGTCGTTGTCTAGTCTTTTAAGGGGATCTGACACTTCTCTGGAAATGCCAGCATTGAGTAGAAGCAAGTGTTAACCTTTCATGTGATCAGGGGAGGGCTGGCAGCCTTAGCCCTGGGGGGCAAAACCAGTCAAGAGGCCCATTGCACCACCAAATCAGTGCAATGGTGCCCACCTTTTCCTGGATTTATAACGGATATTGATGTTATGCTAATCAGTAGCTCTTTGCCATACCCTCTCCTTCACGGCTCTGACTTTCAATGTTGTCAGAGCGCAGGCTGAGAATCTCTGAGCCTGTGCTCCGACTCACTAACTGAGCGCCAGAACCACGAGGGAGAGGCTATAATCTGACTGCACCTACTGCTGGTGCGCACCAGTGGACCACCAGCGAATCGTTTAAATTGAATAGGCTGGTGTCCCCAACTTGTGAGCTGTGTTGTCCGCCGGGCGCCTCTGTTGTGATGGCACCCTGCGTGACCGCACAGCGTGCACACCCCAATGGCTGGCCCTGCTGACACACACTGATGTTACTACTTAGAAATCCCTCAATATTAATACAGACAGCAGAGTAAACACAAATAAACTGTGGAAACAGATCTGATCCCACCCAAATTTATAAAGATTTGCTTACTGGATTTGTTGTAAGATTAAATCATGCCTCCTCCCCTCTCTCTCCCATGCGCTGCTCTGTAAGCTGGGAGGAAGTGAAGAGTAATCACAATCTCTCAGCACAGTGGCACCTGTGGCTGCATGGGGAACAGCTGTATTTGCCCCCCCCCATGTGACATCACAATGCCCCACCTATATGAGCTGCCATACGAACTAACGCCAGTGCTGCTCACAGTGTGTGTTTACATTAAAAAGCCTGCAGGGACCGGCTATAGATACCAGAACCACTTCATTAAGCTCCAGTCGTTCTGGGGACTATATGTATATGACTATATGTAATGTAATGAAAATTATAGATTAGTGTCACTAATAATATACTAGATTGCCTACTTACAACCAAATGAGGATGATGATGGGCTGCAGTTTGGCTCCACTGGTCTGGTGTAGAACAGGATCTCTGGAGGCTGTTTGCAACTGTGGTCACAAAATTCAATGTTCTGGGAGAATTGGAAGCAGCTCCATTTTTGGGAGGGCCCCTTATACAGCTCAAGGTCTGGGCCCCAGGGCCTGACGGTGAGTATGCCCACAAGGCCCACTCATAAGTCCACTTATATGTTCCACCCACCCATGAGTTCGCTCACAGGGAGTGGAGTGTGTAGGGGATGTGTTATGTGTTATTGTAGAGCAGGGATTCTCAACGTTAGTCCTCAGGACCCCCTACCAGTCCAGGG